AATTTAGGAAAACGAATTGACAATTCTTTCAAATTCAATATAGAATATAAAATGATATGTTGGATCTCAGCGAATCAGAGAGCTAGAAATTCTTCAATCATATAATAAAATAAAACGGTTAAGCCAGTCTAAACATCAGAAAACATTTTATTGCAAATGTAGTGAAAAATACGGATGGAAATACTGGTTTTCTTTCTACGACCCTTTAATAATTTTTCACTTTGGGACCCTACCAATTGCCGGTGGAAGGCCGTAAAATCAGACCTGTACTCGGCACCTACAGCAATTTGAGCCATGAGGTATCTTTTAGTGCGAGCGAATTATTGCGATAAGGGACCTCAGTTTAAATGTATTCACGTCCAATAAATTATAATAAATACGATACAGTGGATACGATATAGTTGCTTGTGGATTCCATGACGTAAAGATTAACTCACCAACAAAATGGAATTGAATAATTATCACAAAGGCAATTTTTATACAGTGAAACCGGTTTCATTCTGATAGTTTTGTCAGAATAGATATTGTATCGGAATACCAGTGTAAAATACATGGAAAATAGTACAATGATAATGAAAATAGAGATCAGAATTTGCGAAATAAATAAATATAGAATTTCTTATGGTTTGTGATTGGGTATGATTTTATTCAAGGAGCTGTGTGTTGACGAGGGGATAGAGAACACACAACGAATTGGATAAAAACCCATATCCAAACACTAAACATGATAGATTCTTCAGACGTTTTTAGGTATTTTATCTTAACTAATATTTTTAGTTTTTACCTGTCTTAGCTTCCCCATTGTCCGTCTTACAAAAGCACAACTTTAACATTTCACCAAAAGTTCGTAAAACAATAAAGACAAAATAAAGTGCTTTTTTAAAAGTAGGTTCTGTAATTTCAATGATTTTATTATTTGGAATGTTAATTTTAATCTTCCATGATTTCAGATGCACACTCATGTTCTTGTATGATATGACTTTACGGAAAATAAATTGTGGGATAGACAAAAATGTATCCGTTAATTAAGGAAATCACTAGACAATTACAGGCTCAGGTGGGCTAAATAAATACAATTGATTTTGCTTGTAAACACCAAATGTTTCCCGATGAGTGGATATAATTCACTCAGAACAGGAGTCATTGTTAGGGAAATTGCTACTTGAGATATATCGACCGCATCATTTAATTATTTTGTTTTCACCTCTACTACAGGATATTATGATAACTGTTTCATTGCATCATTGATGTTTTCACCAAATATTTACTCCTTAAAATCTGATTATTCAAACTCTGATAAAGATGCAAGTTTCTGTTTGAAAAATGCAGAACGTGACTTTGGAGCAGAGGCTTATGGCAAAATAGCAAGTCAGAGTTTTAAATTGTATCAGAACTTGACAAGCAGTTACTGTATACTTTTTAAAGCATAATAAAATAGCTGTTCTCATGGAAATTCTTGTGAATTCTATACATTTTGCTTTTTGTTTGTGTTTCAATTTTGATGCATTTTCCCCTTCATATTACGGACATCCTGGAACTGCGATTAAAAGAGAATCTGGGATTCTAATATGGACAATGAATAGATATAGATAATCTCAATTATGTAAGATAAACACTTTTATTATTGTTCACGTTGTTTTTGCCTGATATCAACTTTATGATCTATACAATCATGAAATGAACATAAATGGCTTTCGATGATTTATATATTTTTTACTAAATGATCTCTGTAATGCTGAGGATTTGTAATTCCGAAAGAATATAAAGAGTCAACGTCATTATGCTGAATTTTTGAAGCTGAGTTATATGTCCACAAAATCCATAGACTAAACATTTTTCATAGTTTGTAGAAATGAATCTTCCGAAAGAGATCGATGCTAATAGATATACGGGTCTTACGGTACTGTTGAAGTGTATCGAGATATATCATGAAACACTGGGGCAGTAAATGATTAATGTTGTTGTTTTACGTCCCCTACAAGGTTATTTTATTCATATGATTTTTATTGCATTAGTTCATCTTTCATAATGAACGTAATTTTCTTTTTACCATATTTCCACATGCACGCTGTAGTAACTTTCAAGCTACACTTCCATGAATAATTTACCTTATCCATTAAGAGTCTCTCTGTTGTCTAACTGAATCTCGAAAGAACTACTATGCACTCTTCGGTTATTATGATTTGAAGAACACCTAAAATCACATTTGTTTCATGTTTGGATGTTTTCCTTATCTATAGACGTTAATGGCCAACTCATAAGTAAAATTTATGACAGAAGTGAGGAGTTCAAAGTCTACATCCCCTATTTATGCAGTAATACTCCAATATCATTTGCATATCATCTTTATATTTTCCAACTGATTCGATACACAAGACCATGTTCTGCGTACGGTCAAATTTGAAACCGAAACAGGCTACTGAGAAATAAATTGATGTTACAGAACTTTCATTTTAGTCAGTACGTCGAAAATTCTCTTATTCTATTTGCCTTATTTGCAAATAAAATTTATCGTTAGATCTAATTTTTAGCGACATATTTCATATCTATTGTTTGGCCTTTTTTCTTACTACATTGTACTGTGGAATCATTTAAATTCGTGGGGGTCAATGTTCGTGGGCAAGCAAAATTTTATTGGTTCGTTGGGATGTAATTTCGTCGGCAGCTCGTATATTTGGTATATTTAATTAATCCGTACTTTTAAAAAAATTGTTCGTTGGGATTCGTGGGTAAGGGTGACCCACGAAATCCACGAACATTGATCCCCCACGAACAATGATGATTCCACAGTAACTTTCACTACGGATTACTCGGTTTCCTGATCAATGCATGGGGCCCACGGCGGGTGTGACTGCTTGACAGGGGATATGCTTATTCCTCCGAGGCACCCACCTCTGATTTTTCAAGTGGTCTGTGTTTTTTTTACAGGATTTGTGAGATCGATCAATGTTCATTATCTTCATTTTTTTCAAGTAAATACATACATATGTATGTACTTTGGAAAAAAAGTGACTTGTTTGAAATAAGGTTTTCTGAGGTCACATTACCTGAAGGAATAATTTCATTTTATATTTTGAATTTTTGGATTTTGCGTCTGAATGTTTGTATACTTATCTTTGATCAATTAAGTATACACTGTTTGTCTTCAAAGAACAGTTATTTCGCTGGAAATCACTGCGATTCAAACTTTTAACAACCCTCGTTGAAATTGTTTAGGAAAGATGCGTTTCAGTTATTTAGCTGCAATAATATAGCCCTCTCCGATATTTTTGTCTGATGTTTCTTGGAGAGGCTCCCTCCAAAAGGTTTACATTACTGCAGCTAGTCAGTTATGATTTGTTAATCAGTAATCAAATGTTTTGACTTGAAACAACTCGTACATTCGCATTTGGCGTCGGTTTGTTGTTTTTCTTATTTCGATAAATTTGTTTTTGTTTGTTTTGTTTTGTTTGTTTTTTTTTTTTGTTTTTTTTTTTTTTTTTTTTTTTTTTTTTTTTTTACATTTTTTTTCATTTCTTTTTATGTATCTACAAACTATGAAGAATGTATAGTCTATGGATTTTGTTGCACATAACTCAGCTTAAAAAATTAAGGCATAATGACGTTGACTATTTATATCCTTTTGGAATTACAAATCCTCAGAATGGCATTAAGCTGTTTGATACTTGGTTGATAAATGTAAATAAACTAGTAACTGAAGCATCTTGAAATACAGAGATCATTCAATAAAAAAACAAATATAAATCATCAAAAGCCATTTATGTTCATTTCATGATTGTATAGATCATAAGTTGATGTCAGGCAGAAACAAAGTGAACAATAATAAATGTGTTTATCTTACATAATTGAGATTATCTATATCTATTCATTGTCCATATTAGAATCCCAGATTCTCTTTTAATCGCAGTTCCAGGATGTCCGTAATATGAAGGGGAAAATGCATCAAAATTGAAACACAAACAAAAAGTAAAATGTATAGAATTCAATAGAATTTCCATGAGAACATCTATTTCATTAAGCTTTAAAAAGTATACAGTAACTGCTTGTAAATTTCTGATACAATTTAAAACTCTGACTTGCTATTTTTTCCGAAGCAATACTTGTGCTCCAAAATCACGTTCTGCATTTTTCAAACAAAAGCTTGAATCTTCATCAGAGTTTGAATAAGTAGATTTTGAGGTGTAAAAAATGGGGAAAAAAATATCAATGATTCAATGTAACGGATATCATAATATCCTGCAATAGGGGTGAAAAAAATGATGATGCGGTCGATATTTCTCAAGTAACAATTTCCAAACAATGACTCCTGAGTGAATTATATCCACTCATCAGGAAACATTTGGTGTTTGCAAGCAAAATCAATTGTCTATTTTAAAATCCATTAATTTGTTAAAATGTTTAAAAGATATAAAATATATTCATATGCTAAACTGTGAGTATCAGCTAGCGATCAAATCTTGTTTATTTTCAATATTCCAATCTAAGTACAAAGGGTCAGAGGATTGTTCACCACACACGTTTTCCATGTTGATCAAAGTAATGATACGCTTTGTTTCCCCGACTTAAAGATCATTACTTAAGGAGACGGATTAAGATAAGCTCTATAATTTGCTTCCGAATCCTTTCTGATATTCATGAACACAATATGCCTTGTTATTTTCAAATAAAATATCGCTAAATGTTAACTATAAGATACAACTTCCTTATACGTTTTACAGTTTGCCTGAAATTTTAACACATGTATGGACACTGTAGATGTAACCAATCTTAATTTTCGTAGAATCAGACCGAAAAACTGTTTCGTAGAAAAAATAAAATGCAGTATTTCAGCATGACACCCTTGTTTATTTTAATGAGTAGAAAATGACAAGGCAAACGTATCTAAGTGTAAGTAAGTACAATTTCCTTTGTTTTTTCCTGTTAATATTGCCACAGACACAGTTTATACTTTGATTAGACACAATTTGACTGGAAAACAAGGAAGACCGCTATCTCATGGGAAAAATTTTAATGTCGATATGACTTTTCATGTGGAGGGATATCATGACGTGTATAATGCATCAGTTCTGGTTTGGATTTCTTTTATGTATGTAGCAAGACTCCATAAACATTTAAAAAAATATAAACTTACGACTTACTTTTTTATAAATACCTTTCACATTGTAGATGTACTGATGCATTTGGAACCAGTGATGGTTTCTACTGATAGTGAAGATGAAAATTCTGGCCGGAGATAGTGAGTATCTAATCCATTGTTATGAATACTGATATTTTATATATATATATATATATAAATGGATTGCTTGAAAATCGTATTATTCTGCAGAATTTGATATCAGCTTTGGTTCTATTATAGATAGTGAAAATTGAAAACGGAATATTCTAAATCATTTTATTATAGCCTGAAGAAATTAGACAACACCTTAAGAACCCTCGCCGCAAAGCTAGAGAAAAACACGTGTCACCCATTACCATCTACCATCAGAGGTGCTCATCTATTAATATGAAAAAACGAAGGAATTAAATATGATTCAGATCTAAATGTACTTTTGAAATGAACCCTGTAGTGATTTTGAAAGATAGATATAAGACAGTACACGTTGATAAATTGTGTTTAAAATGATATTATGTATTTTTGTTGCCTAATACCTGAAAAACATGCTTATTTTCAATTTATTCTTACACTTTGTTTTTAACATATAGATTGCAATACCATGGACTTCAACGGAAGTTACATCCAGGAAAACTGCCAACTAGAAGAGAGGGATTGCTATTCTTGGAATATTGCATTCATTGCAGGAGGGAAAAGAGTCATGGTTTTCTTAGGGACTACTGAAGCTGATTCCCTGGACACGAATAGAAACTTCAAGATTTCATGCATTGAAACAGATACTCTAGGTAACGATTAATAAAAATAATGAAATTTTACCTTATTTCATCACATTGTTCGTCTTTAAATTGATAATTAGAATGAACATTGGCATCCACCAATAAATCTTATTCGTCTTCTGTACTTAAAAATATAAAATATACTCTAGAAATTACGATAAAGATGATGTGTTTGATTTGCATTTGATTCCAGATGAACAAAATCTTTTAAAATGTGAGGAAAAAATTATCAGCTATAATCGTTACTCAACATTCAGAATAACACATGTGAAGAGTAAAATTCATTCATTGTTCATGGACATTGTTGAAGAAAGCGTTATGATATTTCATCGATTATTGCTTTTCGTATTTTATTATTTTTAATTTCTGTAATGACCATTTTGGTTTTATTGGAAGAAATAATGTGATATTGAAAATAAATCACCCAGAAAAAAATGCAATAAACAAGATGTGTTTATAAAACACTGATTCCCCCGTATGGCAGCTTATGGTAAAGATTAAAGTTTCTCAAATGCAAGTCAAAACTCCAAGGTCAAGAGATCAAAAATGTTACAGAGAGGACGTGTGTCAACTGCAATGGATACACCTAGTAAATATGGAAGCCCAATCACCAACCATTATGGTCAAAGTCAACGTTTACTAAAAGTGGATCAAACTCCAAGGTCAAGGTCAAAGGGTCAAAATTTATGGTAAACAGGGAATGACCTTGTCATATAAATACAAATACAAAATATAGAAGCCTAAGCAGCAATTGTTCAAAAGTTATGGCGAAAGTTAAAGTTTTTCAAATGTAGGTCAAACTCCAAGGCCAAGGTCAAAATTGGTGGAATCCAAAGGAAGTTCTTATCACAAGAAATGTACCTGTGAAATTTGAATGCCTTAATACTAACTGTGCAAAAGCTATGGCCAAGGTTAAAGTATTTTAAAAGTGGGTCAAACTCTAAGGTCAAGGTCAAAAGGTCAAAAATATTTACATCCATGGAAAGGTCTTGTAACGATGAATACAAATGTGAAATATGCAATCCCTAGCACTAGCTGTTATAAAGTTAAGGCCAAGGTTAAAGTTGGGCAAATTTTTGCAAAAGTGGGTCAAATTTCAAGGGAATAGGTCAAATATGTTGGTACCCAAAGGAGGATCTTATTACAAGGAATATACAAGTTAAATAAGAAAGCCATATCTCCAACCAATCGAAAGTTATGGGCAAGGTTTAAGCGGACAAACAGACAAACAGAAAGACAGACGGACGGACAGGGCAAAAACTGTATACCCCCGAATCCTCGATTACGAGGGCATAAAAAAAAATTATTTGTTCTCAAATTAAAAAAAACGTGATATTTATAAGCATTGCATTCGAGTGAATGGCGATTAAATGCATTGGAATGAATTTAAAACTGTTGCGGTATCGGAGGTTATCCATTATTACATTTGATCAAAATCAGAAAATTTCAAAATGAGAAAATGCTTTCAATAATAAGATTCTAATGGATTCACAATAATCTTGTTCTTCAGCAAAAATTTTTGGGTTTTTAAAAGAAAGATTAAGCGAGTGTTTTTTTCTAAGCAAAACAATTTTGCAGAGTTCATCAATGTACCGAATGCCCGAAAACGAAACATCAGAAAAAAAATACATTAGTTTTATCTTTTCTAATATATCGTAAATTATTTATCAAGGAAAAAAAAGGATAAAAATCGTTCTATAATTTCTTTCAAGCACTTTTATTGCTTGAAAATGTTATTATAATATCTAATAGCGCGTGAGTTACATGATATGGTCCAGCAAGGCAATGATTAAGAGCCCAATTACGTCACTTGAACTAAAACTTTATTGGCATTTTACTTTGTTGCAAATAGATTTGATAATGTTGTAGCATATATGAGGACAAATGGTACAAGAGAAAAGGCCAAAGAACAAGAACCTAAAACGACGGAATCCATTTCTGGTATGTTCGTTAGTAATTCTGATAGCTTAATATAGTAATGAAAAAAGCACTTATTTGCATGGTTTCAAATTTTCGTAAATTGACGAATATAACATGTTCAAGGGGATTTGATGCAGTCTGAAATTGCAACATTTCGTGGGTATTTGAATTTGTGGTCTCTTCATATACCACAAAAAACCAACGAAATCTAAGCCCCCAGAATAAGTAATTTCACAGAATTTATTATATCGGCGTAAATCAATAGGAAACACACTAATGCCACAACCTTTACAGTGAATATTTCAGAAGAAACAAATAATCTGACGACGAGAAGGAAAAAGAGTCAGCCTACTGAAAACCCAATTCTGGAAACTGACAACGGCAATGAATCAGGTACCACAATTAAATCTAATAGAATCAGGTGACACACATAAATCTAATAAAATACAATAGAATTGTTCGTTATTCATAGTTATCTATATAAATCAAAGAAAAGTGCATTGCAATGATAAAGATATATGTATAAATGTTAAGTCTAGGGGAAGTTCATATTATTTTTATGATTTAGGCTGTACGTTTTGGAATGTGATTTTAGATAACACATGGCTTGCTTATCTGTTAATTCGACAAAATACATTAAACGATGTTCTTGTTCAAAATCTAGCTTGTGTTCAATGCATGGAAATTGACTACAAAACACTTCATGGAGAAAACACACACACACACACACCATGAAAGAAATTGATTGTAAAATACATGTAGAGTGATTTCGTCGTAAAAAAAAAATGCAGAAATAATTGTACAAAATAATCCCGCCAAGAAAATAAATGTCCTGATTGTTCAGCAGAGGGTACATATTTTTTGTTGCCATATAGAATGCAACGTGATAAATCAATTACTATAATCTAAGACTTTATTGTTAAAGCTGGTTGAAAATATAGTATGTTTAAACTTTCAATTTCAAAAGATATCTCAAGAAATTTGAATTTGAATTTTAAAAAATTATGCACAGGAAGAAAAAAAAATATTTTATTGATTCAGTTAAAGTATACGGAAGCCCGTTGAGGCCAATTCAGAGAGAGAAATATTTTTTATTGCGTTTAAACGCAATAATTATTGCTTTTAAACGCAAAACATTGCATTTAATCGCAATAATCATTGCGTTTAAACGCAAAAGATTGCGTTTAATCGCAATGTATATTGCGTTTAAACGCAAAACACTTTTCGTTTAATCGCAAAAGATTGCGTTTAAACGCAATACTTTTGCGATTAAACGCAAAGTGTTTTGCGTTTAATCGCAATGATATTTTTGCGTTTAAACGCAATACTTTTGCGTTTAATCGCAATAATTTTTACGTTTAAACGCAATACTTTTGCGATTAAACGCAATACTTTTGCGTTTAATCGCAATAATTTTTGCGTTTAAACGCAATACTTTTTGCGTTTAAACGCAATAATCTTTGCGTTCAAAGGCAATAATCTTTGTGTTTAAAGGCAGTCATTTGTATCAAACCTCGCAGAGAACAATGGACCCACGCATACTTATATCTTTTATTTCTTTCTCTTTTTACTTATTAGGGAATTGTGTGTTGTCTTTATAGAATCAGACTTCTCCGAGCAAACACTCTCTGAAAGGTAAATCACTAATAAGAATTTATAGAGGAGAAAAAAATGTCGGGTTGTAAAAACAAAGGAATCCTAAGAACGAGACATGTCTTAAGCTTATTCTCTACATTTTCAATGAAGTTTCGGTCAGTTGTTCTGCTAAAAAAACTGTCCCATACGTTGCAGTCACAAGTGTAAATCATGTATAAAGGGATTTTTGGAAAGGACTGAGGAAATGTTGGAATTACGTACAACATGATGAAGTATTTAGACTTCAATGTACATTCATAACCCTTCCTATGGTTGCATACAGTAAACACAAGAACATATGTGATGGATTTATATGAGGTCAAAATCAAAATCAAATGAAAACAGATTGATCGATGTGTACTACATGTATCAAATTGACAAGTGCTATTAATTCCACTGAAACTTTCTCTATAAGTTGTGATACACGTAAGCAATTGATCAGAGACTTCATTAAGAGTTTTGGGTTCTAATACATTTAAGACATTCAGGTTGTTAGGATGCCATTGTTTTATTACAATTTTCAAAAACTGGAAAATTTTGCAAAAAGACACAGAACAAATCGGATTTTCTTAAAGTTGAAGTGTCGGGTCCTAGTACATGTAATTATAAGCTTTGACTAATTCATGTTTGATTTTGAAACTACAGTATCATTGTGTTTAAATGCAATACAAATCCTTATAAGGAAGGATTATTGCGTTTAAATGCAAAGATTATTGCGTTTAATCGCAAAATTATTGCGTTTAATCGCAAAAGTATTGCGTTTAATCGCAAAAGTATTGCGTTTAATCTCAAAAGTATTGCGTTTAAACGCAAAAGATTGCGTTTAATAGCAATCTTTTGCGATTAAACGCAAAGTGTTTTGCGTTTAAACGCAATATACATTGCGATTAATCGCAATCTTTTGCGTTTAAACGCAATAATTATTGCGATTAAACGCAATGTTTTGCGTTTAAACGCAATAATTATTGCGTTTAAACGCAATAAAAAATATTTCTTTCTCTGAACTGGCCTCAACGGGCTTCCGTAAAGTACGTATTTTCTGTTTTAATTTTTTAAAAAAATCTTTTTCGTTTTTTTTTTTTTTTTTTAAGAAATTGTGAATGGAAAATGTTTATTTGTAGCTACGTTGTCTGAAATTTCTTCAGACGGACAAGAAATAGACGCTAATACAGACGAAATGTCAGAAGAGGGCTTCGTGCAATGTAAGCATGACAGTATGTTCATAATTGAAATCAAAGCTAAATATTTGAACATTTTTCAGTGGTAAATAAAAAATCAGTATAATTTAGATGAAAATTGGCGATAAGAAAAAGATAGACGTAACATTAATTGTTGAAAAAATAATTGTTGATAATAATAATTGACAAGATGAATTGATTGTGGATATAATGGCGCATACGGTATGATATATATATATAAATGCTAAAATTCTCGAGAAATTAAAAACTAAAAAAAAAAAATACCGTTTTGTTTAGGCTGGAAGAAATTAAGGAGATGTAGAAAAAGGTTGAGTCTAAATAATAACTGTGCACAAAATATTTACACATCTGAAGACTCTCCAAAATTTCCGGGAGCAGGTATGTATTGAAAATATGATTATGCATACAATTAATATTATATTATTTTAATAATTTAAAGATGAAAGGAACATTTCATGAAACTTACTTCTATATCATTAAAACATGTATGTATTTATCTACGTAAGGACACTTACAAATAAATAAATAGGAAAGATATGCAAGAGCATGCTCTGCTTACAAAATATTCTAAAACGAGGAAAGCTATTGACAAATATGTTGATGGTACACGAATATCAATTGTCTCGTTTAAAGTCAACTTATCAAAATTTTATTTTGTCGATATAATGACCTTGTCAGCAAATTCAATTTGTCATTAATTTGAATGTTGACTGACATTTTTCGCACAAAATGTTAGGCCATTATTTTCACATTGAATTACCTACGGATTTTTCCTTTTGTCCGATCATGACAAGGAGTAGCGGCTTGCAATGCCTGTCGACAGGGAATGCACACTCCTCCATTACACCTGATCCCTTCTCAGATGTTTTAGAGGTCTTTGTTTGCTATGCTCCCAATTTGTATTGTTTCAATCAACGTTTGAGCTTGTATACTGATTATGATCTTCATTTTTAAAAACCGTTCACGGTAGCTCAGTCGGTAGAGCGCTCGCTCCGTGATCGGAAGGTCGTGAGTTCGAATCTCGGCCGCGACAGACCTAAGTCCATAAAAAAGATAGCAACTGTTCCTTCGCCATGCGCTCGGCACTTTGAAGTGAAAGTTGCGGGTCCTTCGGATGAGACCTTAACAACCGAGGTCCCGTGTCACGGCAGGCGTTGGCACGATAAAGATCCCTCACTACTCAATGGCCCTGAGTACCGAGTAAAGGTAAAAATTTGAAGCCTTTCACCGGTATATGGTGACGTCTCTATATGGGTGAAAAATTCTCGAATAGGACGTAAAACAACATAAAATCAATCAATCATTTTTTTAAACCGGTCACGGTAGCCTGGAGCTTGGGCGTTCGCTTCGTGATCGAGAGGCACGGGTTCGATTCTCGTTCGCCGCGCAGCGTCAAACCTAAGACGCAAACATAGGTAGTGACTGTTCCTTCGCCAAGGGCCCGGAACTAGAAGTGAAAGTCACTGGTTTTTCGGATGAGACCTTTAAAACCGAGGTTCCCTGTCACTGTAGGCGTTGGCACGATAAAGAACCCTCACTGCTGAATGGCCTTGAGTGCTGAGTATAGGTCTAAATTTGAAGCCCTTCACCGGCATACGATGACGTCTCTATATGAGTGAAAAATTCTCGAATTGGACGTAAAACAAAATACAATTAATCAATCAATCATTTTTTAAATAAATAAAATAAATCGATGAAGCTTTATATATATATATATATATATATATATATATATATATATATATATATATATATATATATATATATATATATATATATATATATATATATATATATATATATATATATATCTATCTATCTATCTATCTATCTATCTTGTACATTTGATTTCATATAAAAAAATGAAGAATTTCTATGATGTCAAAAATCCTCATTTTTGCCCTTCGTCTTTACAATATTTCGTCAATATTTAGATCAATCTGGGGAAAAAAACTATGTAGCTTATTAATAACTTTTTGAATTTACCCATATATGCGTAGCTTTAGTACCTTTTCTATATGCTTGTTTAAATAAACAGTTTTCTTGTAGGAAGTGTTCATCACTCCTTTTGTATCAAATTTCCCTATCTGCAGAAATGTTTCCCTCTCCTTTTAGGTATCCTGTTGATTACACATCTCCTGGCAGCTGCCATTGGGTCTGGAATTTTATATCTTGTTCTGAAAAAGATTGGACGATTAGTGTAAGAGACTCATTTTAAATCTAACAGTTCATGATATTCTGTTCAATATGAATAAATTCCGAATTAACAGAAAAAAATAGAAAGCTTAATCTTCATATTTCATCTGATAGTTTTGAAAAAAGATGAATCAATATATATATTAGCGGTGTTTTTGAATCTATTGGTATATAAAGATGACAATAAAATCCTAAAAAATCTGGATACTTAAACAATGTCGATTCATCGGTGCTATAAAATTAGGGACACTAGTTATCACTTTCTAAGAGACCATATTCTAAATAGCTGAAAATGATTCTTCGTGTGGGTGGACTTTAGTATCGAAAGGACGTATTAGAGTAAAAGTGGGAATCAGACCGGAAAATGTATTAAAAATAAGATGCTTAATATCAGTTACAAAAAGGTTCGAACAAGGGGTTTAAGTAGGAAAATAGGATTTTGAGTAAGGTGGTGCCACTGCATTTCATCTATTAAAAGAAATATAAACATTTTTTTTATTTTTATTTTTCTTTTTTAAAACAGAAGTGATAAAAATAAATCCGAGAGAAACAAAGGCTTTGATAACTTCTGTAACAGCCAACAGGAAAAAACAACTCGAATCACTATCCCACACATAACCCATGACAACGATGAAAACCCATATCATGAAGTGGAAAGCGAAACGGTGAGATCTCTAAAACATGTAAATATTAGCAATGAACCGAAAGAAAGTACCATTAAAAGCGAATTAAACGTCTTTGTTTTTGCATCTCTTTGTAGCCAACAATTCAATTTGATAATCGTACAAAATCGAATTCCTTTACGGGAAGTACTTCATCACCTGGGCGGAAGCTCTCTAAACTACCGGATATTCCACGAGCACCTGAAAAAGTTGAATATGAATACCTGATTCCTCATATTAGAAAGGACAAGGATGGTTTACAGACAGATAAACATGTGAATTATACAGAGTTAAATCTAGAAGATCATGAAAAAGTGCTTTTAGCAGGGGATAATGTAGATACAAATTTTGAAATCTTGGCCAACAGTCCAAAAGCTCTTTCCGCTACTGATGACAAAACTGATGATTATTTTGTTCTTGAGAAGAAAGTTACTGATATGGATCTCAAGTGAGGTTTATCAGGGGATTTGTGACGGTTTATCATTTGAAATGGATGAATAATATGCTATCATCCCAATAAACACAATAATTCTATGATTTGAATGCATACAGAAAAGGAAAACAACAACAACAACAAAATCATTGTCAATCTAAATGTTTATTTAGCTCATATTCAAAATAGCTCAATTTACAGTACATTGATCATATCTCACGTTTTTAGTTGCAAATGACCTACAAAATCAGTTCAAATTTATTGTGGAATACTTGTATAATATGAATGATGAACAATAAGTTGGGAATTAATAATTGATAGAATATTACAATGTAAATGCAAGAATTAAATACAAACTTTATTTTGCAACTGAGACTTGTACGTTTATGAATTATTTCTAGATATGCATGTACATATTATAGGGTTATTTAACTTATATTGGTGAATATTGACACGAATTCGATGTACAAATGCACGAGCTTGCAAGTACATTTGTACAGCCAACGAGTGCCAATATTCACCAATAGAAGTTCAATAACTTCTTTATTACATAGCTAAAATATCTCCCATTGATTTATATTAATTATTTTAATTAAACAACTTAAATGAATAAGAATTTTTCAGTATCGGTATATAAATTAATGTCTGTCCTGTAAGTGTTCAATATTGCATCATTCTAATGACCCTACTAAGCGTTTTGCTATGCTTATTGAGGTTTTATTGAGGCTAATACGTACTAAATTATTAATCAATAATTTAAATTTTGCGTGGCATATTGCTACATGAAAAAGAGGAAGATGTCGATAGTAAAGTTGAAATAATCACGTTTAACATAATATTGCGTTCTTAGTTTGCCATTAATGTCTTTTTCTAGTAAAATCTAATATTACATAGATATGTCAGACTCTGTGATATCTTTATTTCGAGTTCAGAGGGATGTATCGTATTAACGTAGGAATGAAACTTAATATTGCTTATTGATTAAACTTCGTTGATATACTAGTATCTAAATTGAAAGCCACAGAGAGACTTCTTTTCGTGTAGAAGGTTTGAATAAATTAATAAATTAAAGAAATGGAGTCTTGGAAAGCTCAAAGATGTCAATACTATATATGATTGTTCTTGCCACTGGACATTTCATTTACAAAATAGCGAATACGGATCTTCAGTATGGAATGCATTATGCACTAAAAACTAGTGTTGTCAATGAGAACGCGGTTTACAGGTTTACTGTCGAACGATGCGGGCATAGATTAGTAAAACGGCTACCCGGGGATATATAGACAATTGACTGATTAAATAAGTAGAAAAGAAACGTTATTTAAGGAATCACTGTCTAGTTAGTAGAGTATGCCAGGGCATCAACGATAGTTGGAAACGTGGGATAATTTGCATAACGGGCGAAGCATATTAGGCCTCCTTAGAGTCAGACACAAAGACAGCCGCACGAGAATTACATGCATATTAGGCCTTCTTAGCTACTGACCTTTCGCTTGGCAAAATTTGCATTCCTTTAGAATGATCAAGAAATCAGCTCTCCTAACTTTCAAAGAGTTATCACAGAGAAAACAAATAGAGATGGAAATATTTTGTTTTTAATATAAATATACCGCTAGTCTCGATCTAGAGTTTCACAAATACGATCGATTTGATTTTATTAGTTTTCACGGTTTATCTGATTAATGGTTTAGGTTATCTAAAGGTATACTAGTTTTGAAGACCTAAATAATCTATTACCTTATTAATAACCTGATTTAACAAGATGCTGTCCCAGGCAACAAAAGCCTGGAAATATTTCCAAAGAAATGCCGATGTTTAATCCGAAAAGTGAACTGAATATTGGGTATCTATCGCTAGCAAGGACGTTAAGAGATGTAATGAAAAATAATCCGAGTAATCAGGTATTCAATAGGAAAAGTAAGCTCGTAACCGCTTACTAAATTATAGTCCAATTTAAAAACATTAGTAAAATCATTGTATCGTTTTTTTCAAACTGCGTTTTATACAACCATTCTAGAGATTTAGTAGAGCAAAACTGATGTCTTCTAAGATTTTTTTTAAAAATTTCTTGTCCTTATTCATGATAAGTTCTTATAAGACTACGAATAGTTTAAGTTCTATACGGGAGAAAGCATAAGAATCAATCCCACAAAGCTCTGCCCTCTTATATCCCCTACTGACAATTTTTCATTCAATTGCTTGAGTGCTTTGGGCATAAATTGCGATCCTGACCAAATTGAAACACCAACATTATGGGATCTAAGCAGTTTATGTGTAGTTGGAGATCTAAAATTATATGGTTTAATGCACCCATTATGTAAAGGACATTCAGGCAAAAATTCAAGCTAAAACGAAAGTGATCTCGAAAGTGATCTTTGACCAACACTGCAATCATTACAAAAATGAAATATTCTGAAGCTTCTTTCATTTTTTAGTATATGCCAGTTTCTTTTTTCAAGCCCTGAAAAAAAAGGGGGGGGGTCTCATTCTAGAAATATGCTTCTTTAACTGAAATTGATTACGCTTAGTCAGTTAAAGATTTGACAAAATTTCCACAATCGATGTTGAATTTTCAAAATATGCTTTACATTTCTTAGCTTCGTATCCAACAATCTTTCCATGTTTAAAGATGCAAAATTTATTTTACTTTCATTTTTATATTCATATAGGTATTGGATAACGACCTTATTTACGATTAACCATGCAACAACAAGCAAACATTTTCACTCCTAACACGTTTTTTTATACCCCCGTTCCGAAGGAGAAGGGGGTATACTGTTTTACCCTTGTGTGTCTGTCTGTCCGTCTGTCTGTATGTCTGTCCGTAACAAATTTTGGTCGGTTTTCTCAGCAACTTCTCATTGCAGATGCTTGAAATTTTAGCACACTCTTAGTTTAGGCATGCCATATGGTGGGATTCATTTTTGTATGAATCCCATGTCAACTTCCTGTTTATCCGTGCGTCTGTCCGTACCATACATAACAAATTTTGGTCGCAGTTTTCTCAGCAACTACTCATCGCAGATGATTGGAATTTTAGCAAACTCTTTGTTAAGGCATGCCATATGGTGGGATTTATTTTTGTACGAATCCCATGTCAACTTCCTGTTTATCCATGTGTCTGTTCGTACCATACATAACAAATTTTGGTCGCAGTTTTCTCAGGAACTATTCATCACAGATGATTGAAATTTTAGCACACTCTTTGTTTAGGCATGCCATATGGTGGGATTTATTTTTGTACAAATCCGATGTCAACTTCCTGTTTATCCGTGCGTCTGTCCGTATCATACATAACAAATTTTGGTCGCAGTTTTCTCAGCAACTACTCATCACAGATGCTTGAAATTTAGCACACTCTTTGTATTAGCATGCCATATGTTATCCGTGCGTCTGTCCATAACTGAACTTGTATATTCACATCAGAGCGGGGGGTATTATTAGTGAGCATTGGCTCACATACTTCTTGTTTTTTATACATTTATTTAAGGTACGTTATGGAATTTCCAAAATTTGCAAGCATAACTTAAAAAATTGGAATGTATGTATATCAATACAGCCATCATGGAAAGATAGTTCCATTCCAGAAATATTAATCACAATGGCCATGCCCTGGGAATAAATATCTCATTTAATTTTCGATCCACGAATTATCAACCGTACTTTAATCTTTGTGTGAATAGTGCAATAATGTGTATAACCAGAACAATATAGTTCTTGTGGCTTTTTACTGGGTTTATAAATTTTGAAGTAAGTTCAATCTTTAGCACCCTTTTCAAATGACAATTAAGACAAACCTGTCGCATTTGTCTACATTGCAATACAAGTTCCAAATTAATGAAGATGTCTTCATATTTATTTATTTGTATCTGCACAACACGGCTTCCACACTTTTTTATCCATAGTCGCTAATACCTGTAGAAGTACACCCAACCGAAAATGTCTAATGCCAGCAATATGTATAACAAGTTGCTATCCTTTAAAAAAGGACCGCAATACCTGGACCATATGCATGTGTTTCTAAACGAATTTCAAAGAAAATTTTTAGATTTAGTGATTTTACAAAGGTGTAATTAAATTTATTTATTTTTTTTTTTACATGTATCTTGTAATTTTCATCGTTATTTAAGTCTGCTTAATTAGGCTGCAATGATAAAAAATCATGACCTTGAAATGATATGAATATGAAATGATGATCTAGGTATCTATCACAATTGTAGCCTTTAAAATTAACATGATTAAAAGAGGTTTAAGCGTGCAGGTATCGTAATGGATGTATTTTTTAAACTCCATTGGCGGATCCAGGGAGGGGGGTCCTGGTGTTGGAACCTCCTTTATTTTTGCAGAAAGAAGAAGAGAGAGAGAGAGAATGTTTTTTCTGTAATATAGATATTTTTACGTCTAGTACTTTCAATAAAATAAGTACTTCAATCTCTGCCCTTTCTGCTCTTTAGATAGAGTTTTGCTAATTGCTTCCTCCATGTACCTTCACAACCCCGGCCCCGGGCCTCGACCAACCACACGTAACATGAAAGATTTCACTTTGATATCATCGGAAGATTCCGGCGAACGTACGGCTATGCCATTTTTGGACCATCTTCTAAAGTAACTAACTTTAAGAAGTATGCATAAAAAGTGATGAAAGGAAGAATGCATAAGAGAATATTTATCTCCTTATTTAACCAATGAAGAGAAAGGTTCAAAATGTCCCCGTAGTATGTGGGGGAGGGGGGGGGGGGGTGGTCACTCAACTTTTGTTATAATTTTAATATATAAGTTTTGATTTGCATTGGAAGCTCCCCCGCACTTTTTGTTGCAGGAAGGTTCAAAGTACGGAAATATCGAACATTTAAAAGAAATCAAAATGTACCGAAAAGTTAGACGAAGTATTGTATGGCCTATAGTTTGTCATTTTAAAAAATCGGGCTATTTCGATACATGTAATCCATAACGACTGGGACTTGACATCTGTACTAGATTTATACGGAAGATATTCTATCATTAGAAAGATGGTACTTGTGTAGCACAGATCAGTAGTACGCAGAATTTTTTTTTATGTTTCGCCCTCTCCCCCACACGGAAAAACGTTGCTACAGGCCTTTATCAAGCTATATTTGGATTGCTGTCTATCAAATTATTTTGCGAACCTTGATGCACAAAATTAATTCCAGAAAACATGGTAAAGACTATCTTTTCTTTAAAGATAGATAACTTAACAGCTTGAACATGTTGAATTAAAAACTTAATTCAATTATTAGGTTTTAAATTGAAACCTAATAGATGAATTAAGTTTTTTTTTCATTCAACATGTTCAAGCTGTTAAGCGATCTATATAAGTTCTTCCTACTTATTTAAAATGCTTGTACCATAGAATTTAGTTTGTATATACGGATATATGTATAAAACTATTAGGTTTTAAATTGAACTATTAGGTTTTAAATTGAAACCTAATAGATGAATTAAGTTTTTTTTTCATTCAACATGTTCAAGCTGTTAAGCGATCTATATAAGTTCTTCCTACTTATTTAAAATGCTTGTACCATAGAATTTAGTTTGTATATACGGGTATATGTATAAAAGAGAAATTCGGATCTTGGTAACGCCAAAGAATACATAAATATGATGTACAGATTTTAGAGCGAGGTTTGCCAATGATTCATTTGGCATATTCTAATTTGAAAGGGCGTATTGTTCTAAGGGTAAGTTGTCTTAGAGGCGAACTCTCTAGCATTCTCGCGCATGCATGGCCTGACGCAAGCCCATGGCATCCGGTGTAACCCCGCTTGTATATTTTCTGCGTGGAACTCAGGGTCCACGCAAATATTCAAAACCGAAATGACTTTTATTTTGACAAGAATTTTTAGCTCATCTGTATAAATGATTGTCATAAAAAATTTGGTTAGCATTGGAGGAACGTTAACAAAGTTATAACCACTGATTACGACTTTTTGGGACAAACCTCATATAGTTATCTGCTAAGAATGTTTACTGCTGTATATTTGAGGATTCCCCGATCAGTGACAATTTCTTTTACCATGTTTGTTTTCACCCTGTTGTGTAGTCTTGTTTTTTTTTTACTATGAATCTTTGAAAGTTTGTCTATATATTAAACAATATGTCCATGGGTCATGTTGCTCACCTGAGTCAATATGGCCCCCTGATGTCCTTCTTATGCAGATTTTTCTTCTGTATATTCTATTTAAAACTTTGATTTCCTATTTGGTTTTCCTGGGGGGGGGGGGGGGTTTCACATGATATCAATTAAACGTAATAGCTGCTCAAATTATGGTCGAAAAATTCTGCTCTGAATAATTTAATTTTTCAAAGAATTTGTAATCCGTTTTAGAAGTAAATATTAGAAAATAATATGCCCAAAAGCAAGAGAAATACATGTACGACCATGGATGAAAAAATTAGTTACTCAGTAACAAATCACAAAATGACTTGCCTGGCCTGGCAATTGATAATACAGTCCCATTTGACGCTATCACTATACAGATTAAGAATTACGATAGTGCTTCAGCACTAATAGTGACCCATCACTCTGGTCCCTCTTATATCTAATGTACAAAGGAAAGGAAAGGAACGAAGTATTTTTGTCTCATTTTTTTTATTATTTACAAGTCTACCTGACCAAAATATTAATAATACAAATATTAGGTTTCCTAAAAAAAGCTTATCTAACGTGAACAAATTGATTCCTTTGATATTGATTGATTGTTTATTGCTTAACGCCGAGTCGGCAATATTTCAGGCATATGACCGGTTCTGGGATTAGAATTACCCGTGGGAATTGAAAAGTGAAACCCACCGTGATCAGCATAAATATGAGACCGGGATATATATTTTCCTATATATTTCTGTTTTAAGAATGGAAATAAGCGATACTTTAGGAATAAAAAAATGTAACACCAAATGACATCCTGAACTTGAATGAACGGATAGAAAGTCTAGCTCATTATTGAGATAAAAGAAAATATAAACCTGATATGAATGAGAAATATCTTTGTAATTTAAAATGAATTTACATCTACGCTTCGCTTCTATATTGCTTTCACTGTAATTTACTTATCAGTAAGTTAAATAGTTTTATTTCAAAGTCATAGAGGCTATGAAAATGAACAGGAGTTAATCTGATAAAGATACTTCAGAAGTCATGAGCTGACCCGCTTCATTCCCGCTGTTTTCCTAGACAGGAAGCATTACCGTTGCATAAGGGATACAAGAGATCAAGGTTATGCAACCTGTAGTGAATAATGATAGTAATGATATCAGGATAAATTTGTTTTAATATCCATGCTTTGATCTGGATTGGGTGTTAAGTCTAATTGATAATTACTGCTAGTATGAAATATCCAAGATCGAGCTGTCACAAGAATGCCCTTGCACAACTTGTCTAACAAGCCATGACCAAATCTTGTACTGTTTGACCCGTGTCCTCCAACAACAATGTAAGTTAATTTTTTTGGACCCATTTCATATTTGTTAACAAATCCACTTTTCTAAACACTCTTTTACATTAGAGCCTAAATAGTTAAATAAATAAATCCACTTTTCTAAACACTCTTTTACATTAGAGCCTAAATAGTTAAATAAATATGAAATGACATAAATGCAATCAATACAATGTCTTTTACTATATTGATGTTCAAGTAACTATTAACTTTCGTCAATTGGTAATTATGTTATATTTGAGTTACAATAGAATCATATATAGAGGTTCTGGAACAAGAGCCCCAGAAATAATTTATTTTTTGGGATCAAAGCAGGTAAAAAAAAACCTCTGGGGCAATTTTCAATTTTCTTGTCTTTATTCAATTTTCTAAACGCACCTGCTTGCTCTACGAGAATGGTGGGACTGATTTTTCCTCCTTGAGAGCATATTTTTATTTTTGCAATTGTTATCCAATATTGTGACTTTGCAAGCATCCTTAATATAATATTTCTGAGACTTTTTTTTATGATACATGTAGCATAGACATCTTTCTTGTGATTTTTGATTCTGCTTAATTTTATGGTATCAGAGATTCATTCTTCAAATCAAGGAATAATCTTAAAATTCCATAAAATCTTTCTTTTACATTAATGCATTTTGTGTCTTTAAAAGGAAGTCTATATGTGAAATTCCGTTTAACTTGCGTTGGTTTGCATATTGTTTACCCTTGATTTTCAATGATAAAAATATATAATTTGGCAATATGAGGTTTAATTTTAAAAATAATCGACATCATTTGTCAAAGGATGAAAAAGTGTGACATTCTTTTCAATATGCACTTCAAAGATTTTACGCAAGGAAATAACCAATCAAAATGAAATTGGTAAGCCATCACAGTCACGGAAACATGTACATTTTGTCCTTTCTTGATGAAGTACTTTTCATTAATTAGAGACGTGAAAACTTTGAAGCAGATAGACACAACAAACTCCAAAATTTCAACTTACATTTCGTTCCATTTTCTTTTTTTTTTGATTGTTCAATAATAACCATTTCTTTTTAAATTTTGAAATTGATTTGACCAGATATTTTGTAGTCTTTTCTGAAGAGATATCACCTGTTTTACCTTTTACGTGGAGAATTGATTCTGGTATGCAAGGCACGGATAAGTACCTGACAGTTTCATTGACTTTCGGTTCTTTGAAAATGTCTTCTGTCTAGAAATAGCAAATGACCTTATTTAATTGTGTCTCTCTCTCTATAAAAACAATCATTTCTTTTTTGGCATTTTATTTAAGTAATTTAATATTAAGTTTGGATACAATAATATGTATTAACACTTTAGTGTGTTCGTTCCACTGAATTGAAGGAACGTATTGTATTTTATGTGCATGATGAAATTTTGTGGATCGTGTGAAGAATCCCACGTATATTAGGGATGTGCATATTTACTCATTCTCTTTTTTAAAAAGTCAAATAAGGAGTATTTTTCCTGATCTCATATTTATCAAGTATCAATCTTTACATTTGTGTTTCATCATTGTATGCGTAAGATTCAGTTAATCAATACGTTTAAGTTAGGGTAAAAAATCCTCTGCTTCTGGAAGACCTGACAAATTTATTTCGATTCTCAATTTAAGATTTGATATTTCTTTTTTTACCATCGAAGCTTTCCCCTGTAAAAAAATGTTGGCTTAAAGTTTATTTTCACTACATTGTGTAACAGAGTATTTCTAATTTATTTTGTTTACTGTGTTCTAAGAATGCTTTTTTTTAAAAAAAAAATAAAATTTTCATGCAAGGAATTGTGGATAAAATGTAAACAAATCTTGGTTATTTTCAATATATAGAGTCCAGTAAATGAGAATCAGAAATTTTTTTTCTGTGTTTATGAGAAATACAATAAACTTTGCTTTGCTTACTTTAAGATATTTACTTCCTCATATCTTTTTGTTACAGTTTACATTCCTTATCAGTATATATAAACACGGATAATATTACCGATAATATGACCAGTTTTAATTTTTGCACTTTTTAGTAAAATTTGATAGGAAAGCTGTTTTCGTAGAAAAACCATAAAATGCACTTTATCAACACAACATTCTGATTATTGTACTGCGTTGAAAACATGGACCATTGTATCTACATTTAAGTATATAAGTACAATTTCCCTTCTTCTTCCTGTTAATATCACATACACAATTCATACTTTGATTAGACACATTTATGTGAAAGCAAGGAATATAGCAAATCATCGGAGAAATTGTAATGCCAACACGACCTTTCCATGTAGAGGGACATCATGAAGTTTATGAGATATCAGTTATGTTTGGGATTTCTTCTGAGTACGTAAAAACAGTAAGATTCCATAAAACATCAAAAAGATAAATTAAAAAGAACAAAACGAAAACTAACATACGATAAATATATAAATTTAGCATTATTTCCATTTTAGATGTAGTGATACATTTATATCTTGTTATGGGTATAACAGATACTGAAGAGGATTATTTAAGCCAGAAAAAGTGCGTAACTAATATATTGTTTTTATTTTTACAGCATATATATACATTCATATGTAATAATTACTTTACTGTAAAATGTTCAGATTCTCCAGAATTTCAATAAGTGTTTTACTTCTATTATAGATACAGTGTATTTAAAAAGAATGACATTGCATAAAACTAACGGATATATGCCAAAACAGTCATGAGTTCTGTATGAAAAAATAGACAGTTTGAGGCCGGTTAGGGTCGAAAACAGACTGATATTTTCTTGTATAGAATTAGTTGAGGGTATTTCGTACTTAAACATAGCCCTTTAAATTTCCCGTTTTTGATTGACCTGAAACAGTCCGATATTACAAACGACAGAAGTAGTAATAACCATGAAAGCAATTCTCTAGAGAATGCTTAATTGAATGAAAAAATCAATATATTATTTTAATCAGCTACGCATTTGTAGATATTTAAAGTAATATGACTGTTTAAAATGGAGTATTCGGCTAAAATTTTCCCAAATTAAAACATGCTTAAAGCAATGCTTCGGATTATGATACAAACTGTCTGGTGAATGATATTTTTGGGAATGGAAAGGGAAATGGAGATTGGAACTATGATTTGAACTGAAAAAAACCCCACTGAAAATAAAGCAGATGTTGAAGATTTATCAATTTAAGATTAAAGACATTGAAATAACTTTATAAAGGACTGTATATATAATGAATAATTTTGAAATGTAACCAAAGTAGATCTCTTCTATGATTGAAATGACTGCTCCTTAAATATTCAGTGGTTTCAATCCATGCAGATAAAGACATTTCTGAATTTCTTAAAGTTAAACAAGTTTATTACAAGTTCAGGGAGTTCTTGTTTGAATCATTTTATTTCCTCTCTTCTTATTAAAGTATATTCTTTGAATTGGAAGTTTTTTTTAATTTTCAAATTCTTTATGATCAGTTTTAAAATAATCATTATACTCATATATAAGATTAAGCATTGTTAAATAATTACATTTTACTTTTCTTTTGTTCTGTAACAGTTTAATTTTGAAGGATATCTGTACTGAAACATTCTGAAATGACATAATTTCAGAAAATTCTGAAGTTACAGACTGCTCATTAATATCGGACTGTCGCAGATAAATTTATTTACCGTATGAACAAAAGAATGACGTCACAACAATGTTTTAATGTCATATATTATATTAATATAGTCTGAAGAAATTAGAAAAGACCCTAGGAAAGCTTGCTATAAAGATACAGAACAACAGCTGTCATCCACTTCCATCCTCCATCAGAGGTGTTTATATATTTAAATGAAAAGTAATAAGAAGAGGACTGAGCTTTATGTATATAATCCGAATGTTAATTTAGTTTTCAGTTTATACCCTACAATGAATACCTTTCATTGGTTGAGACAATACAAAATTGAGAATTGGTATTTTAAAAGACCAATTATTATTTTTTATTTACTACTCAATACATCAGATTTACTCATTAAAACATTTTTATAACATTTAGATTGCAATACGATTGACCAAGAGGGAAGCTACATTCGAGAAAATTGTCAACATGAAGACAAGTCTTGCTATTCTTGGAAAATTGCATTCATTTCCGGAGGGAAGAAATTCATGGTCTTCTTAGGAACTAATGATTCTTTGAACAAGAAGAGAGATTTCAAAATTACATGTATTGAAACAGATTCACAGGGTATGGTTGCATTAAAAATTATGCATTTTCAACTTATTTTTTTATCACTTTCTTTGTGTGTCTTCTCAAGGGGTTAATGACAACTCATAAATAAATACTTTAAAATGAAAAAAAAATGACTTGGAGCATATCAGTAGTATATATATATCTTTATAACGCTGCTGAGGATTATTCCGGGGGTCCGTGTTTTCTGCCACGTTAACAGAATTGTATTGTTTTTAGATTTTTTTTAGATCAATCACAGCTTATCTTTGCCCTTTTTTCTACAATAAAGAGTAAATAAATATATCATCATTTAATATCAATGAAACTCGATGAGAGTTTGAATTGCATTTGTATATTAAACAAGTGCTTCTTCAACAAAGATTGAATTCGTTAATTTTCATATTTTGATTGATCATTTACAAAAGAACTTTATTTAAAATCACAGTGATTCTACACATAAGTACTATGAATTTGATTTTAAAAAGATGGTGGAAACCCTCAATAACAATATTCATGTAGTCTTTGAGACCAAGTCTTCCAACAATCTGTTGGAATCCGTTGCTGAAGCTTAGTGCTTTCATATCATAATCGAGAGGTCAAGGTTCGAGTCTTGTTTCTGGTGCTTCGTCAAATCGTATTCTTTAAACAAAGTTAGTGACTGTTCCTTCGCCAAGCTCCCTGCATTAGAAGTGAAAGTCACTGGTCTTTTAGATATGACCTTTATAATGTAGGTACCATGTCACAGAAGGCATTGGTTCGCTAAAGAATGGCCCTGCATGTTGACTAAAGTTCTATAATTAAAACCCTTCACTGGCATATTTTGACAACTTAAAGCAAGGAATGTAAACTGGTTCAGTGCAAGGGCAAGTTCTGAAAAAAAAAAAAAAAAAAAAAAAACAAAAACAAAAACAAAACAAAACAATCTTTTAACCGAGTCAGACTACTGACAATAATGTTCCAGGGTTTTGAAATATCTCGCTTAAGGTTTGCATTTTATAAATTCTATGGTCATTATAATGACCTTATTTGCAAATACAATCTTTTGGTGGGTATTATTTTGAGTGACATGTTTTCAACCAAGTTTAAGGTCAATACTATAATATAAATTTGACTACGCAGCACTGTTATGTCGTAATATGTAGAAATCAACGAAATGTAGTCGTGCACAAATCGATACCTTTTAATACTGAAATTATATTGTAAAGATATTATATTGTCATACTAGTTTAATATGAATTGAAATAACGTAGTGTATCCCACTATGAAACAAAATGTTTGATTACCAGATTTGTAAGTCTCGTGATACATGCATTTAATTTGTACCGGATGAAGGTCATACAAAAATTTTAAATTTTGCAAGGTCATATCTTATCTAAATTCTCATTGATAAATATTATCAACATACAATGTATATTTTAATTCTTGTAAAATGCTGCTGCTTTAAATAGAAATAACATTTGACAACATTTTCCAAGTATTTTATGTATTCATCAAGTAATATTTATAATTTCAAAAAAGAAGCATAACTTTTGAAGGTAAGGAATATTTCTTTACCTTCATTTAAAAAGTGGTCAAGATCTATTAAGTGTATGTCCTTGCAATAAGGCGATTTTAACGGGATACCCTGACGTTCAACTTTCTATTTCTGCATACACTACACAGTGGAATAAATTCAATACATTCTCTCGATATTAATTAAATAATAGCATTAACAAAGGTATGCATTGAAATTATTGGTCCATAACACATCTGTAATAAATATCCTATCTAATGATATGCAACCTTTACTGTAAGAATTGCTTGATCCCCCCCTCACCGCACAATTTTACCATGATGACGTCTTGTCGACAAGTACATTGCAAGCAGTTACTTTTTTATTCCTTGCATTGTAGAATTTTACTAACGATAAAAATGAATGCAATGCTAAGATTAGTGCTCTTAAACAGTTTAAACTGCAAGTTATCATTTTTCAGGTATATGTATTTTAAAGAACTTTTGTGTTTTAAACGTGATGTCACAGTAATCATTTCTCATATAAATTAGGCTCTGCCTCTATCAAGTTTTAACAGTGCTGCAAAAGAGTAGTAATGAATAAAGTGGACTCAGGTGGGTAACGATGGGGGATGTTTACCCCTCCTACGCACGTGATCTCATCTTTGTTTTCTTCCAGGGCTCTATGTTTTTGCCTCGTTTTCGATATGCATTCTTGACCGGATATAGAAGATTGATAACAGCTCTTCATAGTTTACACTTGCATTTTTTTTTCACAGATACTGCGATTGAAAATTCGTCAGACCAACAAGAGCTTGATGCTGAAACAGATAAAACGTTCGTGCAATGTAAGCATTTTTTTTTATTTCAAGACAAAGCTATAAATTTGAACACTTTCAAATGATAAAGAGAAAACAGATTCTTATTTTATTTTTGCAATAATAATGAGAGATAGAAAGGGTTACACATAACATTTATTCATTGTTTCATCATTTGTTATTGCAAAGACGATTTTGTCTGAGGTATAATTGTGGGTATGATATATAAATACTGAACAGCATAAAAGTCTGACAAATTTAGAAAACAAATCTTTTGTTTTAGGCTGGAAAACGCATAGAGCAAAAATTATAGAAGGATGTAAAAAAGGTTTGAATTTCAATCCTAATTGTGCACAAAACATCTATATATCGGGCAACTCTCCCAAATTTCGTGGTGTTGGTATGTATAGAAAATGTATCATACACAGTCAATATGTATTTATAAAAGAAGAGAAAAAGAGCATTTCTTAAATTTGTCATTATGGTAATTCCTCCATATTATTAATAAGTACTTTATAAAAAAGCCCTCCCTATACTTTGATAAAACTGTTTATTTTCCATATATACGTTCTCTTCCTTTTTAGGTATCCTAGTGTTTACACATCTTCTTGTGGCAGCCGTTGGGGCTGGAATTTTATATCTTGTTCTAAAAAAGCTTGGGCGATTAATGTAAGTGAAATATATCAAAAGCAATTCTCTATACGACTTATTTTTTTGGCATGCATTGACACAGGTTTTGATTTAACTATTGCTTGACATCAGAAGCATAAATCCATCAAAATTTGGTTGCTACGTGTCTTAGTTTCCATGGTTTTAGATTGTAAAACTTCAAAAATTGAGATTTCAGCTATTTGAGATCTTTATTTTGCCTCTGCAAAAACATCTTCGCTAGCCAAGGGTTTCTGATACGCTACTCCCCTCATGAGGAGAGTAGCGTATCAGAAACCCTTGGCTAGCGAAGATGCTGCAAAAACAAACAAAATCAAATTGAGTACTTACAAAAAACATTATACCCCATTGCCACTTATGATGTAAAGGGATTCTTTGGATTACCTCTCTAAATAGGTGCTAATCATGATAACATTTGGTATACATTTCTTATGCTGGGAAACGCTTAGTATTTACTAATTAAACATGTAGGAGATACATGTTCTAAATTAATTGCAAGAGATAAAGAAATAAAAAGAATAACTGTTCTTATGTAAATATTTCAAAGCAATATTAATTTATAAATAATAGGGATGTCAATTTCAATCGGATAGCCTAGTCGAATAATTTTAGGCTTAAATCGAAAGATAGTCGTGTAATCATTATTTTTTTTTCTCATGACAGGGTAATTTTTTGTTAATTGTTGCATGATATAACCTTATAGATCAAATACTATTTGACTATTAGAGTTTGTTTGTTTGTTTGTATGTTGTATGACGTCCCTCTCGAGAATATTCACTCATATGAAGACGCCACCACTTGCCGGTGGAGAGTGCAAATTTTGTCCTATACTCGGCACTTACGGCCATTGAGCAGTGAGGGATCTTTTTCGTGCCAGCACCTACTGCGACACGGGACCTCGGTTTATACGGTTCATCCGAAGGACCGATCTCCACGTCCCACAGTGGGATTCGAACCCGGTACGTAAGGATCAACTCGTTACTCCGCGACTCTAGAGCAGACGCTCTAACCACTTTCCATTAGTGAGTGAAGAAATTTTGACTATGCGCCACAGCTCCTTTATAAGAGTTAAAGTAATTTTAGAGAATAGTTCTTAAATCTTTTATTCCCTTCAACTCTATTTATTGTACACCACATTCGCGACATTATATCTCATCTGACACAAAAACTTTATCCTTGGTCATAACTGTTGAATGAGAGACGATGGGGCTTTCTGACTTCACGGATGCATTACCTGTGACCTTTATAAGTACCGTGAGGTACTATAATATTTTTGAATCCGTGACCTTGATCTTGAAGTTTTTTTTTAAAATTTTCAAAATGATGACATTGGTAATAACTTTTGCATGAGAGAAGGTGTACCTTTTACAACACCTTTCAAGGAGTACTATTATTTGTGACCAAGGCCTTGAAGTTTGGCCGTCTTTATCTTAAATTTGGCTGCAACTTCTGCGCCCGAAGAATCAGGGGTTCAAATATTTACTTAAGTATTACTTGTAAAAAGTCCCTTCCAAATACATAAAGATTTTTCACTTTATCACCTTAAAATTTGACTTACTTTTAAGAAATTTTAACCTTGGTCGTAACTTTAAGATCTTATGATAAAGGACTTTCATATCTTTTTGAATCTGCATTACTTGTGTCAAGACATTTCTGAATTAACTATGATCTTTTGCATAATGAACTACTCCAGTGTCACTTTCAAGAACTTTAATCTTGGCCGTAGCTTTTGCACCAAAACATATTGCTTTCGAAATTTAAAAAAAAAAACATATTTAAAATGATGGACGGACAAGCCAGGACAGACAATACAGTTACAATATGCCATGAACCATTTCTCACATTCCAGTAATACCCCGAAACTGGGGGGGGGGGGGGGTCTCTGAATTTGTTTGTATATTCAAGTACGTGTGTTTTCCTACATTGTACCATCTAGCGTTAACCGTTTTCTTAACAAACATATGCCAATAAAATCTTATTAATTCTTTCAAAATGACCATGACTATGTTTTAGTTAAAAACATGGTGCTCTTTTATAAAAATGGTAGAACATTATCGTTTGAAAAAATTGGATCGGAAAGCAATATTTAAATTGATTGAAAAAAGATAATTTGTGAAAATCAGTTACAAAATACGTAATCGGTGTGTTCCCCGAACGTCTAGTGGACTAATCTAATTATCACACTCAATTAAGGGGCCCTTTAAAGGGTACATGTACATGTATGAACTAACTATACCTGTATTTATTGAAGGAGGAATTCTACAGCAACATATAATTTTGGGATCTTTAAGGCATCTCTTGTGAAACATGGTTTCAGCATGGAAAGATTGATAAAAAATATTAATTATTTTACATGATTTGTTTTCAGAGGAAATGTTAAATTATATCCATTGGTTTAAAAAAATGCTAAAAATAATGTTTTGTTTCCATAAATAATTTTTTAGCAAAAATAAAAAAAGCTTATCTGACTTTTCTTGACATTAATACTGTGCATTTTACGGCAAACTTTAAACACTAAAGGATCTTATTTGCAATAAAAACAATCTTTTCTTTTTCTCCTAAAAAAGCCCCCAAAATTCATAAAAATTAATTTAGGTTAATATCAATCTTTCCATACTTAAGCCATATTTCAGAGGAGATGTCTTAAAGATCGGTTAAATAAAATCTCCGTGAACATGTAAGTAGCATTCTTTCTTAAACAGGAGAAATCTAACGATCATATGTCATTTTTCTTTTCAACATATCTTATTAAGAGTTAAAACAAGATGTGTTTGTGAAACACTGATGCCCTCGTATGGCAGCTTATGGCGAAGGTTAAAGTTTCTCAAATGCAAGTCAGAATCCAGGCCAAAAGATATAAATGTTAAATTTGAAAGCCCTAGCTGCAACTGTTCAAAAGTTATGGGGAAGGTTAAAGTTTTTTAAAAGTAAGTAAAACATCAAGGTCAAGGTCAAAGTTGTTGGTATCCAGAGGAAGGTCTTGTCACAAGGATTACATATGTAAAGTATGAAAGCCCTTCACCAACCATTCACAAGTTATGGCCAAGGTTAAAGTTTTTCGAAAGTAGGTCAAACTCCTATGTCAAGGTCAAAGGGTGAAAGTGGTTGGTATCAAAAGGAAGGTGATGTCACAAGAATTACATATGTGAAGTATGAAAGCCCTAGCACCAAAAATTCAAAAATTAAGGCCAAGGTTAAAGTTTTTCAATAGTAGGTCAAACTCCTATGTCAAGGTCAAAGGGTCAAAGTGGTTGGTATCAAAAGGAAGGTCTTGTCACAAGAATTACATATGTGAATTATGAAAGCCCTAGCACCAACAATTCAAAAATTATGGCCAAGGTTTAAGTTTTTCAAAAGTAGGTCAAACTCCTATGTCAAGGTCAAAGAGTCAAAGTGGTTGGTATTCAAAGGAAGGTGATGTCACAAGGATTACATATGTGAAGTACGAAAACCCTAGCATCAACCATTCAAAAGTTATGGCCAAGGTTAAAGTTTTACAAAAGTAGGTCAAACTCCTAGGTCAAGGTCAAAGGGTCAAAGTGGTTGGTATCAAAAGGAAGGTGATGTCACAAGAATTACATATGTGAAGTATGAAAGCCCTAGCACCAAAAATTCAAAAATTTAGGCCAAGGTTAAAGTTTTTCAAAAGTAGGTCAAACTCCTATGTCAAGGTCAAAGGGTCAAAGTGGTTGGTATCAAAAGGAAGGTCTTGTCACAAGAATTACATATGTGAAGTATGAAAGCCCTAGCACCAACAATTCAAAAATTATGGCCAAGGTTTAAGTTTTTCAAAAGGTCAAAGGGTCAAAGTGGTTGGTATCAAAAGGAAGGTGATGTCACAAGAATTACATATGTGAAGTATGAAAGCCCTAGCACCAAAAATTCAAAAATTTAGGCCAAGGTTAAAGTTTTTCAAAAGTAGGTCAAACTCCTATGTCAAGGTCAAAGGGTCAAAGTGGTTGATATCAAAAGGAAGGTCTTGTCACAAGAATTACATATGTGAAGTATGAAAGCCCTAGCACCAACAATTCAAAAATTATGGCCAAGGTTTAAGTTTTTCAAAAGGTCAAAGGGTCAAAGTGGTTGGTATTCAAAGGAAGGTGATGTCACAAGGATTACATATGTGACGTATGAAAGCCCTTCCATCAACCATTCAAAAGATATGGCCAAGGTTAAAGTTTTACAAAAGTAGGTCAAACTCCTATGTCAAGGTCAAAGGGTCAAAGTGGTTGGTATCCAAAGGAAGGTCTTGTCACATGGATTACATATGTGAAGTATGAAACCCACAGCACCAACCGTTCAAAAGTTATTGCCAAGGTTAAAGTTTTTCAAAAGTAGGTCAAACTTCAAGGTCAAGGTCAAAAGGTCAAAGTTGTTGGTATGCAAAGGAAGGCCTTGTCACAAAGAATGCACATGTGAAGTTTGAAACCCCAAGCACCAACTGTTCAGAAGTTTTGGCCAAGGTTAAAGTCTCATAAAATTTTGCAAAAGTGGGTCAAACTCCAAGGGCAAGGTCAAAAGGTCAAATATGATGGTACCCAAAGAAAGGTCTTGTCACAAGGAATACACATGTGAAATATGAAAGTCATAGCTTCAACCAATCAAAAGTTATGGGCAAGGTTAAAGTTGACAACAGACAAACAGACAAACAGATAAACAGACAAACAGATAAACAGACAAACAGACAGACAGGACAAAAACAATATACCCCCGGGATCTTTCGATCCGGGGGCATAAAAATTTTGCTTCAGATACCTCTAAATTTAGTTTTAATCACCATTTCAAAGCATTGATTTTAAATATTATAACAATAAATAATTTCAAAATCTTTGTTAGTTTGCATCATGAAACTCAGATCTCAATATAATTTATTTTGGTAAAGATTTATCAAGAAGTGTAAGATACGATTAAAAAAAATAACTTTATTTTGAATTTTAACCCCCCCCCCCCTTAATAAAATTGGGTTTTGGACAATATTTTTAAAGGTAAGTTGTCAAAAAATTTTCTGCCCCTCCCTCCTCTTTCAAAAACGATACTACGTGTCTGAATTTGATGTAAATAAAACCGTGTTAAATTTAGATATTGCTTCCAAACCGAGGTAGCTATGGTTTAAACAGTGGGGGAAGGGACGACCTCCCAAAGAAATATGACAAGCAAAATTAAAATAATAATAAAAAAACCCCTTAAAAATCCTATTTTGTGTGTTTGGGGAGGGGTGGACTTTCTCTAACTGTTTGTAGACTTTACAGCAACAGAATGTAAGGGGGACAGCATCTAAATGAAAATTTACGTATTAATTCTAGAGGAAAAACTATACTACAGGAAAAGTCTATACTCAGAAAAATGCTTCCCCCTTTGTTCTAAGGGCCTGCAAAGGCGATGTGAAAAAAGTTCCCCATGTATAATATAGATTAAACAAAGCTTAAAATGTGATGTAAGTAATGCTTCAAGTTCCAAGTGTTAGGTTATAAAAGTAATGTTTGAAAATAAGTCATAAACATGCTATCTGTTAATTTACATGTCTTGTGCAGTTATGTTTCTTTTTCGAATTTTAGATGTATTTTAAATAAAAATATTTATTACATGAATATGAAAAAATATTTGTTCAGAGCCTTCAATTATAGCAAGTATTTAATCAATTACATGTAATCTGTGCTTTAGGACACAACTTTATCAGTAAATATCAAATTATTTAATTTTGACTACTTTGTTAAATCAAGGTAACACAGGTAAACTCTACCTGGACCCCTTAGAGGGCCTCTTAATTGAGTGTGATAATTAAATAGTTGTTTTAGCGAGTAGACGTTCGGGGAATAAACCAACGTATTCAATGCTTAAGTAAAATGATGGGAGACTAGATCAAACTGGTGTCATTGCATTTAAGATTTAAAAGAGTAATTCTAAGTTTGGTTAAAAAAACTTCTCCTTTCTTATAACAGGAAGACTGAAAATAAATCCGAGGGAAACAAAGGATTTTATAATGCTTCTTACAGTCAACAGGAAAATACAGGACGAATCACTATTCCGCGCTCAAGCAATGACTACGATGAAGAGCTCTATCACGAAGTAGAAGGCAAAACGGTAGAAGCTCTCAAACATTTAATTTTCAATCATTTGATGGATAAACCATAACTGAAAAAAATATATATATATTTTTCAACATGTTTTTTTTAAAAAAATTTTCTTTGTAGCTAACACTTCCATTTGAAAATCATACAAAATCGAATTCTTTCACGGGGATTGGATTATCACAAGATCGGAAGCTCTACAAACTACCGGATATTCCACGAGAACCTGAAAAAGATGAGTATGAATACCTAATTTCTCATATTGGAAAGGATGGTTTACAGATAGACAGTAATGTGAATTATACAGGATTAAATCCAGAAGATCACAAGAAAGCGTCCTCAGCAGGAGATCAAGTTGATACAAATCATGATATTTTGGATAACAGTCCAAAGGTTACTTTCGCTATTGAGGACAAAACTGATGAATATTTTGTTCTTGAGAAAGATAATGACATGGATCTCAAGTGAAGATTATAATAATAATAATTATGAATAATATACAAACGTGCTAAATGTTGACAGTAATGCATGTACATAGTTTACATGTATGAACATTAACCGTTTAAACTACTCACTTACACAGGTATATGACTCTTCTTATAGTCAGCGATCGAATGGCAGTAAACAACAGGAAGAATCATTTTTTGGATGTACACATGATGTATATAAATTATAATACACTGTACAAATGGAATCCGTGAATGCAAAAATAAAAACTTAAAGCCCGAAATATGCATTAATATTTAATCCTGAAATTTTTAGTACACATACAAATAATACAGACAATATCTAATGGCTAACTGCAATCAATCACCAATATAATTTTGTTAAAATAAATAAAGATATGTCTTTTATTCTTCTGAAAACGTATTTTTATTATTATTTAAGTAAAGTATAAGTTAAGTATAAGCAGAATCAAAAGAAGGAATTTTTAAATCACTCTTTTAATTGGAGTTCATTTTATGTAAAAAAAACAACATGTGAATATATGAATTGGTATTTAAACGAATGTTAAATTTATGTCAGTTCATGAAGAACAGTAGATCTTTACATACTTGATTTACATGATGGACATTTGGCTACAATAAGTCAATATTGACATTCTGACCTTTGGGACGAAAGCAATTGTTTAATCATCATTGGATACCTATTCACTTTAAATTAACCTAAATTCCCTCTTCAGACCACACGAGACGTTAAGAATGTTTATACTCTGACGTCTTACGACTCTGTAGGTTAATTGCATTCCCATAAACGGGTCCAAATGGTCAACTTTTAGATCACCTGAGTCGATGGCTCAAGTGAGCTTTTCTGATCGTGTGAAAGTGTCCGGCGTCCACATGTCGTGTGTCGTCTGAGTCTTTCGTGTGTCGTCTGTTGTTTGTAAACTTTTTACATTTTCCACTTTTCCATCTTTTCTCAAGAATAAATGTGCAACTTTAAACCAATCTTGTCATAAGGCTGCCTTGGTTAAAGGGAATTTAAGTTTATTCACAGGAAGTGCTTCGCCCTTTTTCAAGGGGAGATAATTAACAAGTCGTTCAAATTCGGTAACATCTTTAAAAATCTTCTCAAGAACCACTGGGCCAGAAAAGATGAATCCTGTGTGAAAGCTTCATTACATACTTTAGATTAAACTTAATTCAAATTATGACCCCGGGGGTAAAGCGGGCCACAACAGAAGATCAATGTTTTACATAGGAAAATATCTTTTTAGCTTCAAGTTTGTTCAAAACATAACTCCGGGAAAGGGCAGGCTACAATAAGTCATATCTAAATTGAAGCATCCGCAGATAGTGTAGATTGAAGTTTATTAAATTCATGAACCCCGGAGAGGATGGGGAGGGGTAGTCAAAGTTTTACAAAGGAATACCTAGGAAAAGTCTTTAAAATTTTCTGAAGAACAGCACAGCCATGATTAGTCATATTTAAAGATTGTTCAAATTTTGACTCACACGGGTAGGGTGAGGCAAAAATATGTGATCAAAGTTTTACATAAGAATGTAGAATATAGAGGAATATATAGGAAAAAGAACCTGCTGATGAAGAACAGAAGGTCCATAATTACATGAGCATTGTGGCTCATAGATCTCTTGTGAAACTGGAAGTGTGTTCTAATTGACCCCATCATTAGCATACCTTTTTTCATTCCTATGAAGCAGAATTTATTCAAAAACATTTACATGATACAGCAACGTATGTTCAACATACGTTAGGATTTTCATATGTTGAACATATGTTAAACACATGTCAAACATATGGTAATCCAAACGTATGTTGAACATATGTTCAACACATATGTTAAACATATGTTTTAAACATATGTTAAACATAATGTTGATCCGAAACATATGTTAAACATACGTTGGGGTTTTCCTATGTTCAACATATGTTTAACATATGAAAATCCTAACTTATGTTAAACATACATTAAATAATAAATGCTGCCTTAATATTGGCCATACTTGGCCATTAGCATGAAATTTGTTTCTTTCCTATAATCAGTGTATTAAATGGAAATTACCATAATCCAATTTTTGCTTTAATAATTGAAGAACGTCATCCAAGTTCTCCATGTACCATAAAATTTGGTGTTCATGGCCTTACTAAAACCCCATACTTCATAATCATAAAGTAAAATGGATTTGACAATATTTGTTAAATGCATCTAATTTACAATCGATACATAATGTTTGTATATTTTAGGAATGACTCTAATTCTTGGCCAAATTATTCGAGTATAACCTGGTTATACTTGAATAAATTTCGTTGCATTTTATTAGTTCAAATTTGCCGCTCAACAATACAACCGTAGTAACGGAAGTGATGGGAAGCGAGAGGAGGTAAAAACTGATACATAGGCCTAGCAGCTTTGTTGTTTGTTTACATGTGGTAAGATCGAATTATTGTTTGTAGTTAAAGGTACATTTATTAAATCTGGAATTTTCTATGAATCCCTAGGACTGGAAATGAGAGGATTGTATGGATACAGATGATTCAGCTGGTTGTCAGGGGGGAGGGGGGGGGGGTCCCCATACCAAACCAGGTTATACAGAAATAATTTGTGTTCCTTTTTGGATATTAACCGATCAGAGGCTAGAATACAAAATTAAATTATTTGACAGTAACACTATACATGACTTTGTGGCCTTTTCCCAAAGGTTAAATGATCCATTTTTACAAAAAATGACTCCAAGACATGTATAATTGTCAACAATTTTTCTTTATCATTATCTTCAAACCTAAATGAAGTCTACAGTTGATCTACCTATGTAGAACATTTACAAGTGAAAATTGTTAAATAAGTATATCCTGTGTTCTTCATTATGTTTAATAGATAATTTACGCTTTGATAAATTTTGTTGCTCAACTCGAGCTGAAGTGATTATATAGGTCATTCTACAATTTCCTCTGTAACAGTCATGGAAAAATGAGCATGGACATTCCAATAGTACAGATGGAACATAGTCATAGTTCAAAGTAAGTTCATGCAATGGACAATCCAGGAAAGGATCAGTGTGATCTAATTCCTGGGCTTTCTGTACACGGACCAACGTCTGCTTGGTACTAAATTCAAACCCCCCAGTGAAGATACCATGACACGTGTCCTGGAAAGACAAAATCAGAAATGTGTTAATCTCAACTGGTCAAAAAATTTTAAAAAAACCCTTTTAATCAAACACTAAATCATATTTTCATTATGCATGACTCCGTTAGCAAATAATTAGTAGTATATTTTAGAGTCCTTTAAACATAAATATGTTCAATAAATGAAGATACAAAATATCCTTCACAACTTTGCATTGCCAGCAGTGGTTGAACACTATACTTTATCATTTTGCCTTCTCCATATGCAGTACATATCATTCATGTAATAAATTTAACACTGAATTTTATTTTTCAAAACATGAATGAAAAAGTTCTTTCAGGCATAATGTATTAGACCTCTTGACCAGTTAAAATGTTAACACAGAAATGAACAATGTAGCTCTGAAGCAGTTTCATACAGGTATGTGGAAAGATATTTGCAAATGTAAATATTTAAACTTAAGGTTAGAAATACAACTTACGCCATTGCTGTTCTTGTATCTCACCCAGTCACCACTGTTGATGAGATCCAATGACTGTGTTGTTACACTCCGGCTTTTATGATATGTTGCAGTGTTGTCTAATCCTATTTGACAAGAAATCATTGGGTCATCATTCATAACGGAGTATTTCCTAATATGACCATTGGAGTGTCTCTCAAATTTTGAAAGCTCTCCTACTGTTTTTTTGCTGTCTTCTTTTAATCCCAGGAAAGACTTTACAGATGGCTCCGAAGCAGCTTTTAAAATACATTCTGCAGCTTGTGTCCTGTAAAGAGTTTACACACTGATAAATATAAACTTTACATGTTTGACGTTTCTGTATATGTACAATGTAAGTGAGAAATTACAAACACTCTTCAAATCAGAATAAGTTTCTACCAAGTGTCATTTTCTTTAAAGTAACCACCAGTGATGACATGAGAACAAAGAATGTGCTGTGCATATTTCGCAGCAGTATCCTGACTGCGGGCTTTTTGATTTTGTAGAAAAATCTGATCCCTAATTCTGCCATGATTTTTTTCAAATGCTTCTTCATCATAAGAAGGTAATGGCCCATGCCTATGGATATCATCAATCTGTTTAAAAAAAAACAAAACATAACAACTAGATACATCCTGTTAGCAAGCTACTAGTGAGTCTTCAATTCTAATTTTGATTACAATAATAAAGATGTTTAATAGAGTGTTGATGCCATCATCCTTAATCTAAACTTTGTCATGTATAAAAATATTATCAAAAAATACCATTTAAAGTAAAACATATATCACTGAAGAATAATTACAGCATGAAGTAGGAGATGAGTCTTGGCTTTCCTAGCAAAGGATGGTAAAAATTCTGTGATCATTCGATGGTACGCTGCAATATTTTCCGTCATGTTCTTGATACTTTGCTCATCTGTTTTCTTCATGTAAAGTTGCTTTTGTATCTGTTGATTTTTAATCAGAAATTTTAATAAACAAAGATGTTTGTAACAAAGTACAAATAATGGTCATTTTAAAAATTTTAACATTCGATAATCTATAGATGTAAGATTCACTTTTACTTACAAGGGCCAAACAGCAGGTAAGCTTGATAAAAATTTGATCCACCTTGGCAAAGAGCAAATTAAAGGGAGCCACTTGCAGCTAAAAAATTAAGATGCATAAAGAATATATATATATGCAAAATTTTTAGTGACATAACAAAACCACTATTAGCATTTACAAGTCAGGTAGACTCACCAAAAATTTTGAACATATACTTCAGCTACTGACATTTTCTTGCATGGACTTACATAACTTTTGAAGTCTCTTCCTTGTCGACTTCCAATATGTTGAAAAAACTCAGGTCCTTTGGAAGGTTGAAGTGTTTTTAAATGGCAACCCATTTTCTTAAGTTTCTCTTGATCTACTTGTTCCACAATGTATGTCACAAGATGTTTGGTCAAACCAAGGGGAACAAGATGTAATAATCCCACTGGTATGTCTCTGCATGATAAAGTAGAACATGTGAATGAAATAAACATTCAGAGAGCATTGCTTATGTCTGCAACTGGCACCCCCAGTTTCTTAAAGGAACATTCTTTTATGTTCAAAAAGGTTCAAGAAAATAATAAAAAAGTTATTTGAACAATTGGAGTTCTCCTTACTATCTGTTGATCAATCATTACAAAACTCAAACCTGATCTTTGATTTTCCATTATAAAGAT